ACGAAGAACGACGACGATTTGAAATCTGACGAACCTTTAAAAGCTTATACATGACAAACAATGGCAAATTACGACGAAAAGTTAATGGGGTTTGATTGAGGTCGATGCAGGTGTTGATGACAGTGACGATGACGATCACAGATAGTTGACTGACGACTATGTAAGGGGGGAAGGAGAAGGGAGAGAGGGGAGACGTGAGCTATTGTTTGTTTGTTTGTTTGTTTTTTTAATTTTTTTAAAATAAATTCTTAAAATTGTCAGGAAATGACAACTGACACATGTTATTTAACCGAGATTTTTAACGGCGGTTAACATTCAAACACTTAAAAATAGATGTTAAATACATTAGACACCTGTTTTCAACAAAATAATTTTTTAAACAATAAAATATTTTCGGAGACATAATTTAAGAAATTTACATTAAACATAATATATTTATAAAATTTGAAAATGTTTTACCCTAAAATATATTTCGCGGCATGGCCTGCAAATTAAATTCATTATTCAGAAAAGAAAAGAAAAAAAGAACCAAAAAATGAAAGAAGGAAAAGAAACGGGAAAGTAGAGAGAATTGGCCGCTGGGAGAGTAGCAGTAAGTCGGCGAGTCGTCGATACTCAATAGATGGTTAAGAAATCAAAAAATGGGGGTGGAAACGAATTTCGCATCGTTGTTTGAGAAGCTGAAAGTGGAAGATCCATGGCTCCCTCCTCGAACCTGGGAATCCATTCCTTCTCAAAGCGGCCCTCTTCCTCCTCTTCCAGCCTCTCAATCTCCCATTTCCTCCTCTTCATCAGTCTCCGTAAGCCTAATTCTCTCTCTCGATAATTTATATGTACGAACTTTTAGATCAATTTACTTGTGTATTTCAACATTCTACCAACCACGACATTGTGATGTTTGATTTTCATTATAGAATTCTTTTAACTATAGTGGTTTTTAGTTTTTTAATTCTTTTTTTTAATTACCTGTGTTTAGTTAACTGATCTGATTAGAAATTTAAAATTAAAATATTAACAACTCTTAAAAAATTACACAAATTTGTTTTCAATGAAAAAATATGTTTGAATGTATGTTAAGTTTGAGTTATTTTCCCATTTTTAATTCTAATATATACTTTTTCGAATTTTACTAATTAGGAATCTAAAAAATACTAGCTAGAGGCCAGTAGCAAAAAGAATGATCAAATACTTGTTTGGATTAAGATTCTAATTTACTGGTCGCTTTTAGATTCTATTTCCCATTTGTCATATTTTTTTAAAATATTTTGTTGCGTGCCCGTCTCATGGCATAGCCATGTTACACATCAGTGATCAATGCTTCCTAGGTGCTTATGGATTGTGCAAAGCTATGGTGTTTTACTCCTCCCCCTCTTTAGAATGCATTCTGTGCTGTTTATCAGCAAATTTGATTTATACGAGGTCCATTTTTAGACACCTGAAGATGATAGATGCCGGTTTGTGGTGATTCTACTTAAAAATATGATCAAGCCATATACATTATTTTTAAGCTGCAGTCTTCAATTTTATTTCCTTATAACAATTGTGATGTCATTTTTGTACAGGAGGCAATTTTGGTGAGGTTGCCACTGAATGCACTGCAAGGTGTAGAATCATCACTTTTTAGCATTGAAAAAATTTCTGCTGCCTTTTGTTCTGATCCTGCAGATAGGACTTTCCATCAAACACCTAGTCTTTGGTATCGGTCTTCGAGCACTCATGGTCTGGGGAAAATTCTCAAATCAATAGGCTGCTCAGGTTTCTTAGTTTTCCTTCTCCGTAAGTTTGTAGATTATTTTACAAATTTGAATCTCAATGGAAATTCATTTTGACTACAAAAGGGCTGGGAAAGTTATCAAGCAGAAGATAATCAGAATCATGGTGGCCAGAAAGTACAAGAGGAAGAGGGTCCTAAATACAGCCTTGTTAATCAAGTGTTCTCTGTAGCTATAGGAAAGGTTTTGGAAGGGTACATTTGTGCATTGGACACATTATATGCATCAGTAAATGTAAGCCGTTCATCAAAGGGTAGGAAGCTTCTGCAGGTGTGTCTTCTGGCTGTCTCACAAGTGTAGTTTACTCTGAAATTACGCTATTGGAGGTATTCCTGCATACCAAGGAATTGAGGACCCAGGTTGAAGCCCTTGGGAATATATGCAACCTGCATAATTTAGCTATTTGCTTCTCAGAATATTCTTTTGAAGAGCTAAGTTATAAAGCAACCTTGGGATTTCATAACTTCTTCAGGGGAGGTTACCTGCTTAGTTACTTGTATACACAGCTTAAGGTTAGTTTAATTGACCTTAAAAAAATGGTTAGTTTTGTTGATCGTTGTATTGTCTAATTTTACTTAAAATTTTAATTTCTGTTAATTCTATTCTTTAGTCTTTATATTGGTCAAGCTTCATATCACTGTTGGATAAACTGAGTTTATTCAACTATGACCTTTAGAGTCTAAAGCCACTATATATGGTACTCGATTGATAGAACAACCAGACGTTGCAAGTTCTTTGCTTCAACTTATTTGAACATGAACATAGGAAGTTTATTAAGAACCAAAACATCCTATTACTGAGAAATACTTTTAACTCCCATGGTTCTGCTAATTAACATTCAGTTAGCCAATTCTTCTTGTAGGTTGCAGACCCTGCTCACGGTGCTTTACTCAAGTTTCTCTTTCTTCGGTCACGTGAACCTTATTGTGAGTTTATAAGGTCATGGATATTTAAAGCTGAGATTAATGATCCTTATAAGGAGTTTGTTGTAGAGTACATTGCTAGTATTACGGTAATAAATATTGAGTGGTTTAATAAATATTTAGCATTTTTTATTCCTCTGTCAATTATGATCCTCTTAAATGTGACTATTTGTGTCAGGAGCGGAATGGAGCTGCTGTTCCATGTTTTCTGAAGGATATTTTGGTTCCCCTTGTCAGGGCTGGTCAGCAGCTTCAAGTTCTAATGAAATTGCTTGAATTGCATAAATATGTTGATCCTGGAGACTATACTTATTCAGATTTTCTTCCTTGCTGGAGTGGTTTTGCTGGCAGTAATCCATTTTATGCTTCTTCAATCACTTTTGGCAAAGAAAATATAGAAGCCTTGGTTCTCATGCGGAATAGTTACTATGAAAGGATGGAGCAGAAACTTGAAAACTTACTGACAGGGTTGGAATTCAATTATGAACAGGTATCACAGTTTTTCTTGTAGATATGTTGCTTTTTTGTGGTGTGCTATGTCAAGGAATATGATGAGAAAAATATGCGACTATAGCTTGGCTTCAATTAGCGTGTTCTTGTCTCTCTTTTGCTTTTACCATGGTTCATTATTTCTATTTCCAGTTGTAACCATCTATATCACATTACCTGCTGTCTGAGCCATTGTTCTAACTCTTATGGAGTGTATAACCTTTGGTCTTAATTAATCGACAAAAATTTAGTGTTCTGTTTCATTTTTTATTGTATGAATGCTGAAATCTGATTAATGACTTGTTGTATCACGTCATAACATCAGATATGCTATCTTTATAATTGTATTTCAGGTTGACTTGACCATAATATGTTATCCCAACTGGAAATAAACAAATAGTAATTTGTACTTTGGTTGCTCAATTAGAAACTTCTTAGGCAGTAATCCTACGCACCAATAAGGCAATAATTACTTGGGATATTGGAAACAAATTAGTTTTCTTTCCATTGCTCCAAGCAAACTTTTTTCTTTGAAAAAATACCCCTCTTAGATGCTTTGTGTGCTAAGAACTTAAAGAGATTATGCTAATTCAGTATAGAGATTCCTAAGTTTCTTCTGTTCTTCTGACTTCCATTCTGGACTTAGGTGTCGGTAAAATATATATGGAATTGATAGATTTGATAGGGTAAACCATGTGAATCGTGATAAGCTCAAGTTGTGACTTGTTGTGACATGTTGGAGGTTACATTCATTGAACATGGGCAATTGTTATGCTTTTTATTGTTCAGGTCATTTCGCATTGTGCCGAACCTCATTTCTTTGGTACTAGTGGAGGCACTGAAGATTCACTCACAGTGGATTTATTAATTAGACAACAGAAGGAAGTTTCTCTTATGTGTAATCTTTCTCTTTCTCTCTCTCTTTGTGTTAGATAGTTGAAGGGTGTCCTTGCATACATCCAATGGAACTTTTTCCTAAATACTGAATAAGACCAATGGTGTAAGAAATCATTTAGGCTTAAAATTATTTAAGTGGAAAAAGGTTTTCTATTCTATGGGATTGATTAGGTAAGACTTAAGAGAACATTAATCTTTGCTTGCATAAAATTATTCTCTAGTGCCTGTGAATCTTATTATTTTGGATCGAAAAGATTTAATCTCCATGGTGATTGAATTGCTCAAATTCAGAGGTTTCCTTTCTTGTATATAAGGATTTGAGTGTTTGTAACATAATCTTTCTGTAAGTTTGGAACATAAGGTTTAAAAATAATAAGAATAATCAAGGCTCAAAATATTTTGTAGAGTATGGCTATGACCATTACGTGGGAAAACTTGGTTTGGAAGTTATTTTGTCCTGGTATTATGGGTATTGCAAAAGCTTTCAATACTGTCAACTTGATTTAGGTCAAGGTTTGGAAAAAAAGTAAGGACCAGTTGCAGGTTTCAAGCGCATTTGAAAGATTTAGAAGAAAATATGACCTTGGTTCTACCTAGGGCCTAGGGATACTGCTCCTTGTTGCAAACTCAATAGGGCATGACTAGAACTTGATTTTTCATTATCAACATGTTCAATCTCTTGTATACTTCTTTAATATTTGATCGTTACCTGATTTCTTTGATTTTTCAGGCCTCTTGACGTAAATGATTTTGATGACTCAAGTACAAAAGATGGATCCTATCATGAAACCGATAACTTTGAACCATTTGAGTGTTCATCTATGAGTAGTGTTGAAGAACATACTGAGTCTGAACAGTTGATTGGACACACTAATAATTTAGTTTGGCCTAAACAGAATTATTTCTCTGTACTTAGCTTTTCTGTTAGTACCCGTCAGTAACCCAATGCAACAAGCTTTGCAGAATGGAAAGTCTGAATATATGGAAAGTGGTTTACAGTCTGAAAGACTGGTGGCCATGGCAGTTTTATAGGTTCTGAACCTGGTGGGATATATGAGCACTTATCTATGCACCTTGAGTCAAACTGGTTGTGTGCAGAAGCTGAATCTGCAAATATCCTACCTTCTAATGGTTGGCCAGTTAATGGTGCAAGGTTTAATGCTTTTTATATTGATGGGGATGACAGAGATGATAAAAGATTACGTCACTGTGATTCTGGAAAACAGACGAGAAAATATAACACACAGTTCTTTGATAAATTTGTGCGACATTTTAATGAATCAATTACTATTAACAATACTTCAGCAGTGGACCTCTCAAATGAGGGTCAGCTTGAAAAGGAGTCTACTTGGGGGTTATTCCAATTTCAACAGTTTGAGCTTACTTGCAATGGAAACCTTTTGGGTGCTTTTGATTTACGGAATATAAGATTACCAGTGAGAATGTAAGATTACCAAGGAATAAGATTACTGGGAATGTTATATTTTGTGTTTGGTTGGTTTAACAGAAATGTAAGATTATTGGAATGTATATTTGATCAAATTGTCTTTATTATATATTTGTTTTTTTAACAAGTTGGAAAATAATTATATATTTTCTTTAAAAAAATTAAATTCATAAAATTTATATAATTTTTTTACAAAATCGAAAATATAAAAAGGTTTAATGAAATGGTAAAATTTTATTTTAACCCCTAAATTTTATATAAAATTTTAATTATAGATTTTTTTTTGTAAATATAAAATGGTTTAAGGATAAATTTGTAATTTAATATTCATAGAATTTTTATTATTTAATGACAGAATAATGATATTTTTGAAAAAAAAAATTAAGGCCATTTTAGTCCAAAACGTCGGTAATCCAACAATACCTAAGGAAATTAAGATAATGATATTCCCGGTAATATACCCAAAAAATTTACTATTGATAATCTTACATTACCGAGAATGAGATTCTCGGGCTAACCAAACGAGAGAATGTATATTTTATTCTTATGGGAATCTCACACCCTCCCATCCAAACGCCCCTTTTAAGTAAAAACCCAATGGTGGCAAACAATGGTTTTCTAGGTCTGATGAACAAACCTGGTGACTCAAACAGCATACCTTGTTTTGATTTTTCTTCAGTTGATGACCCTTGTAAGGTTTATGTCAAAAGGCTAGCTTCTGGGGTTACACATGAATTTCCTGAGAATACCACTTCCGTGACAAATGGTACTGGTAATCAGGATGATTAAACAAGGCTATGGAGGAGATGTTCTCTTGATTGACAATTCAAAAGGTTCTCATGCTGTTCCAACTTCGGAGTTAAAGAACGAAAACTAGGATGTCATTTCAACAACTGTTTCTGGTGGAAGTTATTGGGAGAGTTTGCTTGGTAGTTCTAGCACCCCTTATAGCAGTATGAATGGTGAGATAAAACTGAATACATCGTCCTCATTTGAGATACCTCTTGACTTTGTAATTGACAAAATGCCTACTGCTGGAAATCTTGCTTCAGTATCCTTTCTCATATTCTACCAGATGTAGAGGAAAGATGACCATATTTTCCAATTATTCTTTCTTTATGTTGGTTTATTGATGCTTGGTATAAGTTCCAAACCTGAATTTCATTCATATAGAATGACTTGTTTCCTGCATTTACAATTTCCTTTGCTATTTGATTTCACATGATTATAGCTTCCTGTGGTGGTTTGTCTTGGAAAAAGTTGGGTGTCTATTTAATATCCAAAGAGCAAATAATTGGTGATATACTTTAGTGGTTGTTATAATATATGTGATATAAGATTTTAGATATATTCTTTTATCATGGAAAATGGAAACTTTTCTTTCTTCTCCATCCCCCCTCCGCCACCCAAAAGGAAAATCTATGAAAGATAATAATATATAAAAGAGCTTTACTTTGTGTCGAAGTCCAATACTTAGCTGTCAAGTGTAGATCAATTCTATATCCTATTCACGTTTCTATCTGTTGACAAATTTTATGCTGGATTGTGGTTTATCTTAATTATTTAAGATATAACTATGTCAGCAAGTTAACCATCAAGATACTTGAAGGTTTTGATTTGCAAGAACATTTGTTAGCACTGCGGCGATATCATTTTATGGAACTGGCAGACTGGGCGGATTTGTTTATTATGTCCCTTTCGCGTCATGTATGTCTGTCTATTTTATAGTCACTCGAATGATTTATTATTTGAATATTGTATGCTTGTTTAGAAGGATAGAAATGAATATTGATTACTTGCAATCGTTTCATTTTACATGGAATGAACAGAAATGTTGTGTTACAGAGGTGGAGCAGAGAATCTCTGAAATTCAAGGACTTCTTGAGTTGTCAGTGCAGAGATCATTTTGTGAAAGAGACCATCATAAAGATAGGTTATTTATATATGCAAAATGGCATGGGATGATGCCTCTTTCAACTTCTACAATTGGTACAAGTTATCATTAATTCATTATTGCAAAAAGGAACCAAGGTTCTATAGCGTAGAACATGAGAGCAAACAGAGTGAATTCTTAGAAGTTACATTCACGATTTGCTTGTGCAATTTGGAAAGTTGTGCCAATTTTCCGACTCTAAACCTTTTAAAAAAGTCATGAAAGAGAGTGGTCCAATGAGAGAGTATATTGGGATAGTCATTCGTCTTTCGGTGAGGAATGGACGGCGTTTGTGGATAACCTGAGTAAGAGGGTCTCTAGGAGAGCTGTTAAGGAACTTTTTCAACATCAGGGTAATGTACTGCGGGTCTATATTCCAAACGTATCCAACAAACCAAAGTACAGGAATCAAACGTTTGCCTTTGTTCAGTTCGAGAAGGAGGAAGGTTTAAAGAACGCGATTGAGAATGTTAACGGTGCATGGATAGACGGAATGAGAGTAACTGTAGGGGTTGCGAAATACCAAAGCCATCGGAATAGGATTGCAGCTGCCAATAGATCCCAGACAGAATCAGAGAAGTCAAACAGGGGTGAGGAGAGAAAGAAAAGAGGTGGAGGAGCAACGGTGAACAGTTTGAGGGATGGAAGATCCTATAAGGAGGCACTGGTCTCGAACGAAAGGAGGAGAAAGGAACCGGTGTTAAAAGAGCAGAGAGAAGGGAGTTCTCGAAGGGTTCCTGGGTTGAGAAATATGTGGGAGATGCACATCCCTTCGGGTGAATCAGATTGGGTTAAAAGCTCTCTAATAGGTGTAGACACCCGTTTTTGTCCGGGTCTTTTATATTTATTTTTTTATTATTTTATTATTATTAATTATTATTATTAATTTTACATATTACATTTTTTTTGCAGGCTTAGAAGCCCAATTCAGATTACAAATGCCCAATCCCGGAGCCCAACAACCCGAAGCCCAATTGGCCCAATCCCGGAGCCCAACAACCCATCAGATTAGGGTTTCAAACCCTAAATCAGATTAGGGTTTCAAACCCTAAAACAAATTAGGGTTTCAAACCCTAATCCCCTACTCAGCCGCCACAGCCGTTTGGCCTTCAATTTCCCAGCCGTTCAAGCTGGCTGCTTCCCTCACCGTCGCTGTCATCGGAGCTGTGAGGAATCCATCCATCAAACAGTGACCGGTTCCTGTAAAAATAGTAACCAAATCAAAGAACAGTGGCCTAAACTTACCCCAAATCTAAAAACCCATTAAAATAACACCCGAAAATCCCGAAAAATCTGGATTTTATTCACCCAAATCAGAGAAATCAAATCCTATCTACCTAGATATCATCATCATTTCAATGGAAATCCAGAGGCAAGCAAAGATAAAAGAACAAAAAAAAAAGAAACGAAAGGACAGAGAGAAATTCGAAACAGAAAAAAAAGAGAGAAGAAAGAAGAGTTTTACCTCCTCCTCGAACCACCACCGTGAACCTCGTTGTGACCTTCTCCGATCCCAGCTAGCCCCGTATCTGAAGGTAAAGCCTTCTCCTCTTCTAGGTTGGTTAGGGTTGGAGTACAGTGGGTTTTGGGGTTTTGATTCGCTTAGGTTTTTAGGTGAGAGAGATGAGGCTACTCCCCATGGCCACCGATCTACGGTGGCCGGGGAGTTTTGGGTTCTCTGTTTGCTAGAGAGAAGGGTTGAGAAGAAGGAAGGTTGAGAGCCTTTTCGGCTCTCTGTTATGAGGGAAGAACGAGTGAAACGGCTGATGGGGGGAGAATAAAATGATTTTTAGGGTTTCATAATAACCCTTAAAGGGTATATCTCAGACGTCAACGACGTCGTTCTGAGACAGGGGAGGCCGAGTGATGGGATTAAGGGCTAATAGCCTATTTGGTCCCCTTATCTCTGTAATCTTGCACGCGTGCTCTTAGCATTTATGGGTAAACCACAGTTAAGGTCCCTGTAGCTTGTGTAATGGTTGTAATCTTACCACTTTAATGAAATTTCATCATTTCATTTGAGCTTTTATTTTATTTTTGTTACATTTTCGTCATTATTTGCTATTAAATATTTTGTGGTTATATTTGTGCTTCAGCCATCAAACTTTAATTTATTTATACATGTGCAGTATAGTTTATTGTTGGTTCATTTTAGTCACTATTTACTATGTAAAAGAAATACATGTTTTATTCATGTTTATAATCCATGTATTTTGATTCTGAATGCATTTTGATCACTACTTTTATATTGGGTTAAATGCTGAATATGGCTTGCTTGTTTTACTTTCATTTTATTTTAGTCCTTAATAATATTGTTGAGTTATTTTGGTTTCTAGTATTTGTATTTTTAATGTTTTATATTTGGGTTCTGTTTGTTTTGTAATTGCTGTTTAGCCCTTGAAGATTCTGTTTTTACTGTTTTGGTTCCCAAAATTCATTTTTTTTCATTTTGGTTTCTAAAGTTTCGATTATATCTATTTTGGTTCTTTAATTTCCTGTATTTTTGCAGTTTAGTCCCTAATATTTTTTTGTCATTTTAGCTCTTTTAATTTCCGTTAATTACATTTTATTGCCTTAAATGATTTATTTTGGTATTTTAGTTTGGTTTGTAATATTTAATTGTTTGCTTTTCAATCCTTTATACATGTATAGTAAATGTTCTTATTTAATATTGTAAATATTTATTTGTCATTTGCAATCATATTTGTTTCTATTTTATTTCCTTAGTTGTTAATTTCATTCAAATATTTTTCAAGAACATGAAATTGTAGAACGGGCGTGGAAAGTACTATTTGACCGAAGTGGTGCAATCCGATACGACGTTCAAATAAAATATGGATTCGAAAGCACAAATTCTTCCTTTGTACGAGCTTATGAAAAATTTTTACTGTTATTCTATTCTTGTTATTTTATTTTATTTTATGTTCATATTGTTTGATGTTTAAATTTTAATCCTTATTTATTTATTTCTTGATTCTTAATATGAATGATGTATGCTTTGGAAAAGTATAATATGATGCATTTTATGTCAATTTTCGTCATTATTATTTTTTTTTTTAAGTTAAAGAGAAAATATTCTTTACAAGTAAGAAATAGACGAGGTAGCTTTCCCGGCGGAGGATTGCAAATCTCGGGATTTCTTATCGAGAAAAGGATTTTTTTTATTTTTTATATATTTATTTTAACTAATATTCAATAAATAGATCATAATTTATTTATTATTCTATTTTCATAATTTTTATTGTATTAATGGTTGTTATGTTAATATTAACGATACATAAATTAAGCATATTTTATTTTCTACTCATGATGATATTATTTAGTGGTAATTCAAAGATAGGATATACTTTATAGATGAGAAATAGATGAGATAGCTTTCCCGTTGGAGGATTGCAAATCTCGAGATTTCTTACCAAGTGAAGTATTTCTATTATTTTAACCAATATTCAATGAATAGATCATATTTTTACTTCATATTCAAATTGTAATTTCCACCATTTACGACGATGTGTAAGCTACACAGTACCAATTTTGGGCTTTGGGGGGTTTACCCTTCCCCACACGTAACCGACTCCCGAACCTATTTTAAATGAATCTTTGGTAACGTAGACCAAATTTTGTCTTATAAAATTATTTTTCTTAAAAATTGTTTTTAAAAGACGTTTTAGGTATTTGACCTACCTAACCCAAAGGTCGATGGCGACTCTTTTCAATTTTATTCAAATCCATTCAAAATCACTAATTTTTCCAAATTAAAGTCATAATTGTTTTAAAAAAATAATAATAGAATAATAAAATAAATAAACCATAATTGTTTTAAAAAATGGTTATGACAGCTTGGCGACTCTGCTGGGGAGCGTCTAGAGAGTCAGGCTGTCGGTCGTTTATATATGGTCGTTATGGTGGAAATTATAAGTTCGAATCTTTAGTAAAACTATGATCTATTTATTGAATTTTTATGTATTATTTTTATCTCTTTATTTTTATATACTAACATTTTAATTGTTTTCATTTTTTTCAGATATTTCTTAGTTCTCGTTGGGTGTTATTTTTTATTTTTATTTTCCCTGTTTTTGAGTCACAGGTTTGTTTGTTTCTCCTCACACACATCACTTTCATTAGCATAACATGAGCTCTAGACATGAGTTTCGATCCAAATTAGTTAGGGTGATTGCTTTACTCTCGTAAGAATTTATTCTTCGTATGAGTTTTAGCAAATAACCCATGGGATACATACCTTATACCTTCGTAGGAATTTATTCCTCGTATGGGTATAAGGCAGTGAATCCCCTCGAATTGAACTCATTCCGTTTGAAACCTGTAATGGGTGAGGATTGAGGGTTTAGTAGCCCAAGGGGGCTCTAACATCAAGGACAATTCGAGTCCCTTTTTTTTTCCTGTTAGAGCCGAAACCATGCATATAATGAACCATAGAACAGTCACACTAGGTAGAGTCGTACTGAACCTCTGTCCGTCAATAGGTACCCAAAATAGGTGTACACAATGGAGAAACCCTCTAACCTTTTTATTTTATTTTATTTATTTATTTTTGAGTGGGTAGAATAGATTTATTCTGTTAAAGCATGTGAAATAGAATTTAGGTGCAGTTAGAATTTAATTAATTTAGAAGGGTAGAGAGCATGTTCGGGTAGGACCCTTTTTGAGGAATATTATTCGGGTAGATAATACATAAATAGAATAGATTTATTTCCCGTTTTACATATCTTTTTATGTTAAATTTATGCAATTGTTTTGACTAACTGTTTTGTTTGTTTTGTTTATTTTTTTTTTCATACTGCATAGACATATCATTAGAAAAGGCGATTGATCTGTGAGTATCGATAAAGTGGAAAGACTTTCACGATGGAAAGGAGTTTCCTAAACAAAGAAGTGAATCCAGCAGATGTAAGGAACTGGTTCGAAGCCAAGCAGAAAGAGCAGGGAGATAGTCTATCAGGGAACTACGTGTCGGATCTGTCTGATTATGCACCAGCTTCTTTAAAACAGAATGAGCTTCAGGGATT